AATATGACACAGAAACAGCCACAATTCAAAAAATATGAAGGGACATCAAAGACATATCTTAGGAATACTATTTGATTAGCGTATAGTGAATTAGAATCTTTAAATGTTTCCTGAATATGGCCTTGTAAGGCTGAAACATGTAGCACCATAACAATAACATGTGTATAGATATATTTTAATAACTTAATAACATTTTATGACTTAATGATCATTGTATGAATTAAATGTGAATTAATGTTATTAACTTCTTGCATTATAGAGAGACTACAGAAGATATATCAACGCAACAGGATGCTAAAATATAATACAATTATTTGACAGATGTTAAAAAATGCCCCAGCTTTTAGATGATTTTGAGCTGCATACAAATTTGCACTGATAAATGAAGAATCAGAATTTGATATTTTTACTTCTACCACATGCTACTCGACTCCACACACACAGAAAGAGCTAACTGTAGTCTGTGTATCCTGACCTTGGGATCGTAAATATGAAGTTTAGCTCCTTCATCAAGTAGCGTTGTGGCCACATGAATGGCTGGTGACTCTCGGGTGTCACCAGTATCCTTCTTAAAGGCAAATCCAAGTATTGTTATCTGCTTATCAGAAACTGTGTTGAACAGTGATTCAATCACTTTAGCTGAGAAGCGTGACTTCTGATATTCGTTCATGTCTATCACCTGAAATGACAGCATTATCTATACATAATAGTAATGCACACAGACAGCTCAGAAAAGAAGCACTTATCCAAGAGGAGCCTACAGACACCTTAACAATATGGATCACAAAGATTTTATCCATGAAATCATATCCATGACAAGATACTTAAAGATTAGCATCAGTATTTCTGCATCTTCTGATGAAGCAATTCCAGTGATAAAACATCTTATTTTAATATCAAATATGCATATAAAACATAACTTTTCTGCCAGTTTCCTGTTTTCTCCCACTGACTAATATGGAATATCTAAAGATATTGTGATGAATATGGCCATTGCTATGCAAAGGTTCAATACACACCACCAGAAAGCCAGAATAGTCATGAATAAGTGGAAGTCCATTTGCTATGCAATGGCTTGCTAGCATGCATTTCCACTGCAAAGGATACAACAGAATGACATCTAACTGTTCGAGGTGGTGGATTCTATTTGATACTACCGAAGTTATAAAGGGAGGTTATGCGAGAAAGCTCAGAGTTCAGCTGTGAAGTGTTAACCAGCTAAAATTTGTTACCAAGTAATGACTAGCAAGCAGATATAGAAGGCACTCGTAGTCCAGTAAGGAATGGAGTGATTCATCAGCAGCCATTGATTGTGTGCTGTTATAATTGGTTGTAATTGTAATCAAAGTGCACATAAATCCAATAATTTAACCCAGCAGCCGTTACATTCATCATGCAAACCCCTCATACATGACATTGTGGTGTCAGAAGTGGGAATCAAACCCACACCCACAGAAGTATATTTTGTACTTTTGCCAATAGGCATGGCAGCCACAGCTATTAAAAGCAATGTCAAAGCATTGCAGTAGAGTTTCTAGCTGCTATTCAAATCCTCTTTAACAGTTCTAAGGAAAACATTATACTTTAGTTTCTTAATTCTAATGTCATTACTTCTTTACAGTGACAATTACGTAGGTCGTACCGAAAGTCATGATCAACTTTTTTTTGCATGCAACCTGGGAACAGCAGACGAAAGAGAGTATGGTGGTAGGTGGAACCAGCTGTTGTGTTAACCTTGAGTGTCTTGTGACGTCAATAGCTTGTATCACGTGACCAGTATCACTCCTAACGAAATGGCTGACAACCATATGTTGTTTCGCCAGCGTGCTGTCATCGAAGTTCTTGTGAAAGAGGAAATCCCTGCTGCAGAAGTTCACCAGAGACTTCAGCGTGCTTATGGAAGTGTGTGCATGGGTGCGAGCAGTGTTTGAAGATGGGTGAAACATTTTAAAGATGGGAACATCACCATTGAAGATGACCCTCGGAGCGGTCATCCCAAACAGCCTCAACTGAACGCAACAAGGAAATAGTGGATGAGATCATTGAAGATGACAGGTGTGTGACTGTGGACATAATAGCCCGAAAACTTGGAATAGGGCACAGTGCAGTAGAGGTGACTGAAAGCTTGGGCTATAGGAAAGTTTGTGCTCGTTGGGTCCCGTGGTTATTGACCGAAGACCACAAAGGTCAGTGAAAAGCCATCACCTCAGAACTGCTGCAGAGATATCGACACAAAGGTGATGATTTTTTTGCTTTGTATTGTGACAGGTGATGAAAGCTGGTTTCACCATTTCGAGCCTGAAATGAAACGGCAGAGTATGGAATGGCACCATTTGCATTCTCCATCAAAAAAGAAGGCAAAGACAGTGCCATCAGCTGCAAAGGTGATGGGCACAGTCTTCTGGGATGCAGAGGGGTTTATTCTGGCAGAATTCTTGGAACCTGGGCAAACCATCAATGCTGCTTGTTATGTCCAGATGCTGCAGAAGCTCCGTTGTGCATTGCATGATAAATGTCCGGGATGAAACATCATCATCCTGCATGACAACGCTTGCCCCCATGCCGCTCGCCTCACATTGGAAGCAATTGCAAAGATGGGGTGGGAAGTTCTTCCACACCCTTCCTATAGGCCTGATCTGGCACCCTCTGACTACCATCTTTTCGGATTTGTGAAGAATCAGCTGTGTGGAGAACGTTTTGAGACAGGGGAGGCAATTCAGAAAGCAGTGCGTCAGTGTCTTTGGATGGCTGGAATGGAATTTTACAGAAGGGGAATTTTCAAACTCCCAGAGCGCTGGAAGAAATGTGTACAAAGAAGTGGCGATTATGTGGAAAAATGAAGAAAGGTCTGTAGATTGTGATGGTGTAGTTAGTTTGTCAATAATAAAGCATGTTACCTTACAAAAAATTGTTGCTCATGACTTTCAGTATGAAGAAGATTCTTCCAAATATGTTTGTTTTACATTTTTATTCATTGCTTAACTAGAAGTAGCAAATAGTAACCCGGATAAACTCTACTACTTACTTGCTGCCAGTATGCTGCCACTTCTGGCAAATTCAAACATTCACAGATATACACCAAGTTCAGAATGTCTTTCTGGAAACAACTGCCTCCAAAACCTGAAATAATTAAAACCTATTCAGTAAGCTAAAGGTAAGCTAAGCTGCCTCTGCCTAAACACCATACCATGAAAACAAGTAGAGGGAAGAAAAATTAAGTCTATGCAGTCTTAACCTTGGCATTAGACAATGCTTCATGTTCCAGGTGCTTTATTTTCAAGGGCAAAGCCTCCAGAACCACATGGGTAAGAGGCTGAGTGTATCACAGAGCCAGTATGAATGCAGGGGCAAAGAGAATAATATCTACACCTGCCAGGACTTGAACTCCAGTCACCCTGTCAGAGGCTTAGTCACTCCAGTGACTGGGCTACCCCACACTAAGTTTCAATCAATTCAAATACAGAATGCCATCTTCTGGGATGTGGTGCCATATAGATATTGTATAAACTGACATTCCAGAGGAACGTATTGCCTCCATCTTCAGGGTAGAAGAAAAAATGAAAAATCCATGAGTGAGGAATAAGCATGAGCAGGTGAGCCACAATACAATACCTACACAGAGCCACATCCAAGAAGACGGTATTTTTCATAGTCACTGCTGTGAAAACCTCAAATCCTACAATTCAAATAAAGTTTACAAATACATATTCATAGAGGTATTCAGCACATTCCTTACCATTGTTTTTGTGAGGTACAGTCTCTAAGACTCAGTCATTTTGAAAGTATGTCTCTTCTGAATACAAGTGATAGCCATATACTGTATGATATCTTTAGTACTTCCTTGCCTTCTACTATTAAAACCAACTAATACAGCATCTCCCCAATCACCAAGACAATGTTCATTTCAGAAACAAAGAGGGGGAAAAAATACTGAAACAATACCCACATCAACACCAGTGATTCTCAGACCTGTCCACACAGAAGAAGATTATCAAGGTAATCACTGAGATGGGTGGAAATGTATTAATGAGCACATACTAGCGGTTACCTGTTTAAGCCTAATTCTGCTTCTGAGTTAAAGAACCTAATTTTAATTCTAAACTACATTTAACTCCTAATTTTACAAACAATAAATAAATAAATGTTCATTTAACTGTGGGTTCGTTATTAATGTTCACCACATGTGCTTGCTATTTGCCTAATCTCACTGATTCACCTCACTGTTTGCACCTCCACTGCAAGTGTGCCGGCAGATTTCACTCCTCCGTAGTAGGCGGATTCTTACAGCCGTTCAGCTGGCCTGTCTGGACGGTGATGCAATGCTGCGTACGCCGGTAGAAACGGCTGCCTCCGCCAGTTGCTGGCGTTGTGGCAGCTGCGTTCGCTGCCTGGTCACTGGAGATTTGCGGCTACTACTTTGGTTACCTGGTCGCTGGAGGCTTGCGGCAACTACGTCAGTTGCCTGGTCGCAGTGAAGAGCTGATGCTTCTGACGACTGATCGCTCTGAACTGAGTGTGTTGACTGATGATTGCAAGCTTTGGGCTCTGCCGTTTATACCATGCTTGATGGAGGAGCGAAACATGCAGTTGCGATTGTGAGCGTTGATTGGCTATGGCACGTTATGATCTAAATGTGGGCTGGACATCGAGTGTTGTTTAAATATGAGTGCTGCCAGCAATGTGATTGGTTAGTGCATATGATGATCTGCAAGTGGGTTGGACATTGAGTGATGTATAAATACTGCGTCGCTTTGGTCACAGCTGCCTGTTTGGCACTTTCTGAAAGGGGTGATGATTTTCTGCCAGATGCTGTGGGAATATTCCCACATAACTATTGCAAAAATGGTATCTATTTCTTGCACCCATTAAAGAGTTCTGATAAATGAAAACACACAATGCGAACTCACCTTCAGCCTTCAGTTCCTTCCAGTGAATAAATCATCACTCACTGATGTCAGAGATTGTCACTTCATTTTATCTAAATCATTTCATCCTTCTCTCTTTCCCTTACAGCGTATTGTAACGTGTTTTGCCACTGAAGACGCCGTTCAGATTGTTAATTGGTTTATTTAACAACCTACAAGTCTTGGCTATAATTAATTATAACACTGTTATGGGTTTACACAATTTACAACCCTACACAATAATCTGTCCACTCTGTCCTCAATAGTCTACATATATTCACAGTATGATACAGGAGCTATACCAGTGTCACTGTATTACACGCTCCCGGTAACTTCTCACACTATCGGTATTCTTCACGTTCCGGTATTCTTCTTTCCACCACAACTGAACTCGGCGACTGTTCCAATTCGACTGTCTCCGGTGGCGGCTACATTTTAACTGTGTCCCTCCTGATCACACACTGCCTGTCTCACATACTGCTCAGCCGGCATTTTATAGCGTTCGCTGTTGCCTGTTACCTGTGTCAACAGCGGCATCACATGCCACGTCACAGTAGGAAGCTCTGCCGCGTCACCGCNTGACGGAGCGCTGACTCACCTGCCACATCACAGTGGCCAGCACTGCCATGTCACTGCGGGGTAGGGGGGCGGAACCCTGACCGTCCCGCAACCACAGCATCAACAGCGGTCGACGCCGCCACATCACCACTAGGGAGGGAGGGGATGTCCTCCATAGAGCAACGCATCACACTATTTTTGCTTTAAATAATACTGTTCACTTAAAATAAGCATTAATGGTATTAAATGAATATGTATGACTAATTATTGCCTTGAAATTAACTGTAAATTCTTCATTTGTATAATAAAATCTTACTTAACAGATGACTTTCATGGAATGCATCCCTTTCATGTGATGAAAAAATTATCAGTCATCTATTACCATCTCTTACCATTTATTGCAATATATTCTATACCTGGGTATGCTGTTCAACTCTCATTAATTTAATAGGCCTGCCCACTCACCAACAGATGCCTGCAGGAATTTTGATCCTATCCTAGAGTCCAAACCAACTGCTCGAGCCACCTCAGAGATGTCTGCACCAGTTGCTTCACATACAGCTGACAGTGAATTAATACTTGATATCCTCTGAGCCAAGAATGCATTTGCTGCCTGTAATATAAACGTTACAAAATTTAGTGGTAACTTCAACATGACAGCTCTCTCTTCCTGAAGGCTAATAAACTCACAAACACACTGGCCATATTTACAGCCAAAGGACAATGAAAATTGGCAACGAGAAATCTTTTAAAAATCCAATGCACATGGCTATGTCAAACCTCAGTAAACCAAAGAATTGGTAGACAGACAGTGCAACTGCAAGTCAGCACATGAACAAACTACAGATTTGAGTGGTGCATCACGTCATACAATGGTCTCAATTTCAATATTTCCATTAGTATACTGTAAAAGGACTAAGTAACCGTGAACCTACCAAACTGATTGGTCTAGACTTAATGCTATAGATTTGTATTCAGGAGGTGCTCAGTTTCCATCCTGGCCAAGAAAACTGCTAATCTGTCTGAGGTTTTCCATCATTTTCCTCAGTCCCTCTTAACACATATATTATGTCACGACTACTTAAAGGTTTTCAAATCAATAATCTTACCATCTGATGTTATACAGTCTCCATACTGAAAGCATCATTAGAAATGAACCTAACACTCACATGAGAGATCTACCATCTGTCAAGAATGAGTAATCACAGCTTACAAAACTACCAGTGAAATGATTTTCCACAAAAATGTTTAATTACCTACAAACCTTTAGTCCGGTTTGTTATTCCTTCCATACAGCTAATGTCTCTGTCTTGTAAGTTCACATGGCTATTCATCCCCACTCTGTTTTCTTAATTCCTCTTACTGAATTCTACACATGCAGCCAAGACGCCTAGGAATAGTGGGGATCTAGCTAGCTATACACAAGGTGCCAGAACTACTCAGATTCACGCATATTGCAAAATTTCATCACGCCTTTCCTTTCTCTCACTTCAGACAAAGGTAAAACTTCCTAAATGTGAGGTGTCCCCTCTACTAGCCTTCATCTTTCTCTTCATTCTCATAATTTTAAATGAATTGATAAAAAGAAGCAAACCAAAGTGATCTGTATGAATCAATGGCAGCAGAGGAAAACATGAAGCATGGTGAGATGTGGCTTAAATTTGTGCAAGATAATTATGTCTCTATTATTTACGAGCATCGCTCAGTTACTTAACAATATTTTCCAATAAGGTAGTATTCATTTCATTCCAGCAAATGTGGTGTCAAAAACTGAAAATTCAGTTAACTATACGCGGACAACATCAACTAAACTGTCATACCTAAATCAAGAAAAGTGAGTACTGTCATGCACTTCAGATCACTATGTGTTACAGATTAATGAGGTGTAACTTCCAAGACATACAGCAAAATATTAAGTTATGTAATAAAAGAGTACAATTAAAACTACCTTTGAGAAGTATAAATAAATTAAGTACTTTTATAAAATGTGAGGTCACAGTTTAAGATGCAAATGTTTCTGGAAAACTGAAATGCTGTGATAACAGTTCTGGAAATCATATTTCTGTCATGTGTTTTGCTATCCTGTAAGGTCCAAGGTTCGTCACAAGTTCAATAGCTCAATGTCCCATTCAAGGAGTCCAGTCCTACCAAATGTGTAATGGCCATCATTCATGTTATATTTTAGCGTCCTGTTGCACTGACTCATGTCCATGATTTATGCTAACCGTCTTACAGTACACACACTTTTTCACCTTACTCTTCTCTTTTGCACTACATGTTTCAGCACTAATGTGCCATCTTCAGGTGCGTTTTCTCTATGCACGTCTAACTACTGCATTGCATGCCCTGATGTCTTCATACTAAAATGACTAAAATATTGTGACATGTTGTGCATAGGAGAACCCCCCCACCAGCAGTGACGCGGAGGGTGAGTCAGCGCTCCCCTCCCCCTCCTCCGCACGGTAACATAACGGTGACGCAACAGGATTGTTACGGTAGTAACAGCGGTTACTACCGCTAGCGTTACTAGCAACACAGCGCCAGGCAACAAGGGTGCCTATTACGTGGCTGTTTTCCGTATTGTCCGATCAAGGCTACATAAGGAGCAGCGAAGGCTATTCACACCGAGTTGTACTGTGACAGCCACTGAGTTGTAAAGCAACAGTCGCCGAGGAGAGTTATAAAGTAACAGTCGCCGAGTCGAGATGTAGAGCCAGCAAATAGTCAGTTGTATTCTGGCACTTGGAGTGTACTATTTGTGATACTGCAGATAGCAGTAATCGTAAATCTGTAATTTGAGTGATTGTATGAGCGAGTGTGAAATAAAATTCACTATATAAAATACGGCGTGAAGTTATTTGTCGTGATATATGCCCGATACGCGACAATATATATTTGTCATGCATAATAATAGATTTTAACCCTTCCGCATGGTCATTTAAATTCCGCGGCCGTCTCTCCGGCGGTAATATATTCAGCCGTCCATTTAAATTTTGCTCGAAAATGATTTATTCATCACTGTTCTTAAATTATATGAGATAGGAACATGAAACTTTCACTAAAATGATCTTAAAAGGTGGTTTTATAACCTTACCTTATAATATGAGCGCCCTGTATCTCGGCAATGGAAGCAGGT